CGGCCAAATCAGGTGAGTAAGAAAACAAAAACTGATTAATTTTTATACGTTTCCCAGTGTATTAAGTTCCCTTGCTTTGGTACATACGAAAACTCATTCAGTTTCGCTTCTTGGGTAGGTATTCTTTGATTTGGGGTTGCATGTCGGCTCAAGGGGTTGGCAAGTTGCACATCATAGAAGGGACTGTTAATGCTGTTAGATACATTGACATCCTCAGCAAAACTCTACTGCCCATCCATTGACAGTTTAAAAACAAGAAATAATGAGTACATATTCCAACAGGATGGCGCTGCGTGCCATACTGCTAAAATCGTAAAGGAATGGATGTTGCAAAATAATATTCCGATATTAGATTGGATATCCAGTAGTCCCGATCTATCGCCAATTGAAACACTTTGGCATAATATAAAAAAATATAAAAAAAAAAAAGCTACTCCTGCTAGACAGTTCCTGAATTAAAAGAGAAATTAATTCAAGTTTGGAACTCCTTCACTGATGCAGACTGTAAAAATTTAGTAGATACCATGTCAAAGCGAATTGAAGCAGTTCTGAAGCAAAATGGAGATGTTACACAGTGGTAAAATCACTGGTATCCTTCCATAATTATTGGTCCAAACGAATAGATTCATTTTTTATTTAGTGTTCTGTGCATATTTCTAATTTTCTAATATTAATTTTAATAAAAAATGTTGATAAACATGTCTTAAATTATAATGAAAATAGTTGGATTCAATAGATTGTTCTTTTATATTTATCAACAAAATAAAAAATATAATATTGAATAGGCCAAATGATATGATTCTGGGCTCGTATTATATATATAAAAAAAAAAAAAATTTTATCTTCTTAACGAAAACTGTAGTTTTTTACTCTTGTTGCAGAATGGTGTTACATTATATTTTTCAATAATATTCAGTTTTTGTTTTCGAAATTTCGAAATTCCGAGATTTTTTTTTTTTTTTTTTCGAGAAAGACATCGAGGCGGGAGTTTACCGATTTCTTGTCTCGATGATCGAGACAAGACGAGAAATTCCTTTCGAGACGAGATTTAAATTTTATACGTAGCTTTCGGGAAAAATATACTTCCTGGCATTAATTTTAATATTGAAAACCGTTCATGAAGTGTAAGTACCTAGGGTTGTAAAAACGGATTTTTTTTTTAATAATCTAAAAGTGACTTTGACTTTTGGTATCTAAAGCACGTGAAATCAATGATTTATCTAAGCCTATTTACATGTTTTCTATCCGTTACAATCCGTACAACTAACGCAGAAAAATAATGAAACACAAGACTACAAAATAATGTTTAGTTTTCCAGAAAGCTAGGTTTAAACTAATAATTATTGTTCTATGAAAAACAGATTTATATTTTGTAAATGATATATCGTGCAACATAACTCTAGTTACAAAGTTAGGAATGTTTTCTTTCGGACAATTTTGTAATAAAATTCCCTAAATTGTCCAAATAAATGCTATCCCAAAACATAGCCAGACGCCAGCCCTTTATACTTAAATCATAAAATACTTAAAATGAAAACAATAATGTACATTATAAAGAATGTTTTCAATGAATGTTCTGTCTACTAGTTAGGCAACAATAATTCTCCTAACACCACAGCTGGTTGCATATGTTTTTGAACGCTTTCAAATTATTTAATACGATGTTGCCAAATGGATGAAAAATATGAGTTCATTGTTATATTATTAATCAACAAATTTTATTTACAATGTATTTGTTCCGTTTTCAGTTGAATGTTTCAAATATTGGCGCTGCTCCGAAAGCACTCAAAAGATAGATTAGCCCTGCGCGGCAGTAACTAATTCTCATTGTATTATCTAACAGCTCGGTCAATAGAGCGTGTTATTTTTTTCATTCCTGTATTCTGTTATTATGTATTTCAAGTTATATAGTTATTTATTATGGAAGGGAAAAAAGTATTAGATTTTAGCTCGAGGTTGTATTGTCTCCCGACGCGAAGTAAAGTTAAACTGATGTACATATGTAATGGAGGTTCTAGCGAAATCATGTGTAGGTAATTAAATGTTGGTTTAAATCATATCTCGATAGTGACAGCTATGAATTTCATGAGGGTCAGTGGGTGATTCCAACTAGTCTAACAAAAGACTTTCACGTATGATAAAAAATATAATAACATGCTATATTAATGATGATGTAGTTTGTGTTCCACTGACAAATAATAATAGAGTAATAAGTATTCATTAACATTTTAATTCAATTATTATACTCTTCACACAGTAGTCTGTGAAGAGCATTATAGGTTTACTTCTGTCATCTTGAAAATTTCAGGAAAAATCGAGCTCTATAAGGGGACGAAATTGATTTTGAAAAAATCTTATTAAAAATGGGGGTTAAGGAGAGTGCAACTTAAAAAAAAAAAACAATAAAAACGAAAAGCGATATTTTTTTTGTGTCATCGGCTTCAACTGCTAAGGTTATTTCGCCTCGTGTTCTGTGTAGGCTTTGTTACTGTTTCCCAGCGCCACTTTAAGAATAGTACTGTTAATTAGAACCCAACAGAGAATGGTCGAGTGGGGAATCCTACCAAGGCGTCAGAATTAATTTTAAATAATTAAATTAAATGAAAAAATGCCGGCCAACGGTGGGATTCGAACTTGGGACAGGCAGAGACTCTACCACTGAGCCACCCACCCCGGAAAAGCCATATTAACATTAAATTAATTCTGAAAAAAATTTGAATTAAAATGGGGAGTTGAGCAGGGTTGAAATATTTAAAAAAATCATAAATCAAAAACGAGAAGCGATATCAACCGCATTTTTAGTCAAAATCAAGCTTTATAAGAAGATGAAGCTTATTGGTTTTAAAAAATTTGATAAAAAAAACTTGAAATATAAAAAAAAACGAAAAAAGATATCAACTTGAAATTTTTAGCAAAAATCAAGCTCAATAAGGGAAAAAGGTCCTTTGTTTAAAAATGGGGGGTTTAAGAGGATATCAAATTAAAAAAAATTCAAAATGAAAAGCGGTATCAACATGAAATTTTTAGTAAAATCAAGCTCTATAAGGGAATGAAGACTATTGATTCTGAAAAAACTGTGAATAAAAATGGAGGAATAAAGGGAGTTGAAATATTGAAAAAAATCATAACTCCGAAACAAAATACGATAGCAAATTGAAATTTTCAGGAAAAATCAAGCTTTGTAAGTATATAGTTACAAATATGCCAGACAGTTAACTTGAAGGTTAAAACTACGAGTAGCTGCAGAAAAGTTACCTAAAGCATGATTCTAGAAAAGGCTGGAAGATATACGAAAATACGAAATATACAGGGTCCCTATTATTTCATAGGAACAGTATTGCTATTTTTTGAACGGTAACAGATAGAAAGTTGGTTAAATTAGACGCAGTTTTGTGCTCATTAAAATGGTACCAAGAGACCTTTGATATCTACAGGGAGATTCAAAATATCAGACAACAAATGAATGAAGTTAAAGAAACGACAATTTTCATTTTTTGTTGTCCAATATTTTGAATCTCCCTGTAGATATTTTGAATATCCCTGTAGATATCAAAAGTTTCTTGATACCATTTTAATGAGCACAAAATTGCGCAACTTTTGTCTAACAACCAACTTTCTATCTGTTACCGTTTAAGAAATAGGCCTATGAAATAGTAGGGACCCGTATAGTAACATTTGCTAGCCGGGAAAGTGACACATGCTAGCCAGGAAAGTGACACATGCTAGCCGGGAAAGTGACACATGCTAGCCGGGAAAGTGACACATGCTAGCCTGGAAAGTGACACATGCTAGCCTGGAAAGTGACACATGCTAGCCTGGAAAGTGACACATGCTAGCCTGGAAAGTAAAGTAAGCAATAAGTCGCTTCCCGACTGTTTCGAAGGGTTTAAATCCACAGATTACTAAACAATTAATGCAATGGTTTAAAAGCGACCGATTATGTTTACACAAAGAAAAGACATTCGATGGGAAATTATATCAGAATCATGGAATGATAATTTTAAATGGGGAAATAGTAAATATAATATTCGATATGCAGATGATAAAGACATATATCACATAACATGGATAAAATAAAAATAATGGAATATTTAAACTCAGGAAACAAAGCAAAGAGCAATCAAAGATATTAATTAACTAGGTGGATTACAGATTTAAAAACATCTAAATTTTCCAAAAATACAGACAAAATGTTTTTAACATCTCTGAAATTTATATGCAAACTTGTCAAATTATAAACTGGATGTGACTGAAGTTATTAGACGTTTTAACATCCCAAAAGTTTATCTCATTTTTCCAGTAAGAACATTATAGGAATCCTGATTTTTTTCGACCTCGAGTTTTTGACGGATCTTTACATTATAGAGTCCCCTGAATCCGTTTTGACCATTTTCGCGATGATGTCCGTTTGTCTGTATCCACTATAACTCAAAAACGGATAAAGAGAAAAACACCAAATTTTAAATTTAAGCTTTAATCCATCCTACGGTGTTCGGAGCCTCCGGGGGGTACTTATAGAGGGCCGTTTTTCTAATTTAAGGTATATTTATGTTATTTATGATTATAGAAGAACCAATCTTTAAATGATTTGTTTATGATTTGATTATCTATAATTTTTGTTCAATACATGATCTTAAAATGGACCATAATGGAGAAATTAGAGAAAATTTGAATTTTTCAATATTATGGTTAGCAATGGAAAATGTTTTGAAAAATTGTTATATCTTTGACTCATACTGTAAACACTTTTTGATTAGATGGGCCGTACTTAATATAATTGATAACTTTACGGGAAAGTCATGTGTTTGACATATAATAATTTTTTTTCAAATAAACATCTGTCAAATTTTAACTATAATCTGGATGTGTCTGAAACTTTGACAAGTTTTCAAATAATTTACTATTTTATTGATACATATGATCACAGCCTTTTTTTTAAATGTTACTTTAATCTATATCTGAAACGTAACCGGAAAAAATTTAATGAAATGAGTACTTGCCTTGTAAATTATCCAGCATAAACGTCAGCAGCTTTGCTGTACCATTTGGTTCACTATATATTGAGAGGATATCCTTGTTCAGGGGATTTCCACTGAGATTGAGGCTGAGAAGATTAAAAAGTTTGCCGAGCTCATAAGGTAATATCCTAAGACAGTTGTTTGCCAAATTCAACTCTCTGAAAAAAAAAAAAGAAATATAAACTATTAAACTTACGGGTATAGATAAACTTTGCGCCTAATAATAATTATGTACAGTACTTTTAATCGTATTTCTATAAACGACTTTCCTTTCAGTCATCATTTTGTTTAAAGTTGGTAAAGGTTCAAAAAAATTTCTAATCTAAAGTATGAAAATGTTAAGCAACACATTTAATTATAAAAAACTAGCTTATACAGGGTGTTTAACAACTTATCCGATACATTTCAACCACATATACAGTGTTACACAAGAAGTCAATTAAGGTAACTGCACCAATAATTGTCACTATTAGACGCTGATTTGTATTAAATAATTATTTTCACTAATAACAAAAAAATGTAAGCATATAATTCGATTTTTTCTTGTAGCTCATAGTTTCTTGAGTTCATTAGTTATGTATTTTTAGTTCTAATAATTTTGCTTTTCATGAAATAAATAAAATAAAAAAAGTGTTTGGAGTATCAGTCATTGACACTTGATTTTTTTCATGTACCAGTAATTGACACACTAATTATTGACACAAATTAAGGAACATTTTTTTATTATACTTTTAATTTTGAATACACTAAGTAAATAAAAATAAACAGCAAATTCATAACACAAAAAAGAAAAACAAAAAATGAAAATGTATGGGTGCTTTAGGCTTCAAAAATATCAATATTTTTTGAAAATTAATATTTTATTCTGTCGCCGACATTGTGTAGTTCCGGTTGGGATAACATTTTTATGATATCCTCTATCTTGATTGTTGAAATATCACTATCAACAAGTTTGAAGGTATTCGTTTCATTTGTTGAATTAAGGGATATAACTTCAATATCGTTTCGGGAATATTTCTTCTGAACCACACAGATATACCTATAAAAAAAAGTTTCTCTTTCCTCCTAAGAATTTCGCTAAAATAAAATCTCCTACATGGATATCGTCGTATTTGATTGGTATTTCGTTCTCTTCTACATTTTCTAACTAAATTGATACTGACATCATCAATACTGTCTCCACTTTCTATCCACTTTCTATCCATTCTTCGTTTTCGGATGAATTGTCAGAACTTTCCCTCTTTACTGACTTAGCCTTGTTTTGTATTTTTTTAATTTTTTTCTTCCCTTTTTCGCTTTCTCTCTCCTGCCCGTTTTTGTTGTTCTTCTTGTTTTCTCAGAATCCTTTTTTATGTGGTATTTTTGCCAAATTTCTGACGTAATAGCACAAGGAATTTGCTCTTTCTTTTTTTTGTGTTTTTTACTTCTTCCGGCCAAAACAAGGCTCTTTTAAATGGAGTGGGAACTTGTTTCTTTAAAGATAATACATTGAACGGCGTTGTAGTTTCCAATGAATTTAAAGGAGATCTATCACTTTGTGATACCGTAGGAGGTGTAATATTGACATCAGAATTCAGAATGTATAACAATTTTTAATGGGGTCATATCAGAATCAACTCTTTGTTGTTAAGGTCAGAAGGTCCTGGTCTCAAGTTGTCTAATGTTTTCTACAAGATCATTTTCTTTCTTGATGCAATTTTGGTTCTCACTTTTATTTATGTTTTCTAATGGTTTAACACCTAAAGCGGATCCCATTTTAATTTTTTTTTTTTTTTTTTCATTGTGTTGCATATATTAAATAGTGACAAGTCTTTCATATTACCTGTCCATGCAGTATCAAAATTTGTTCGAAAGTTTTTTAATTTTTCTGAGGGAATAAATTTTTCCAAAACTGCCAACCCTTCTATTATTCTGGTTTGATTAACATCTGTCGACGGGTTTGAAATTTTTGAAAATTTTACATTTTCTACATTAAACGGCGAAAGTCCACATGCCCTAAATCCATGTTGAATTGTTTTATCTGTAACTTTGGATAACGCTTCCTCAAACACTTCCGAAATTTTCTTTTCGCAATATTTTTCCGTGATTTTCGATGTGCCAATCTCTTAGATTTTTTCCAAAATTGTTTTAGCGGCTTAAATACAGCCACATCCATAGGTTGAATTAAATGTGTAGAGTTTGGATACAATGCAAAAAGTTCTATTTTTTTGAACAAAACTTTGATAGGTGTAATGTCATGTGCGACACATGACCGTCAATAAACATAATAATAGGTCTCTCAATTTTTTTCTCATCTAGCCATGGTACAAACACATTTGTTATGTATTCAAAAAAACTTGTTTTCCACACATCCATCCACTTTCGGAACGGCCTATTCCCCAACTTTCATTGATACTGACAGCTACATGACTTGGTATGCGTACATATTTAAACACCACCATGGGAGGAGCTAGTGTCCCAGCGGCATTGGCGGTGACTAATACAGTTAAATTTTCTTTCTCGTCGTTGGTTCCAGCATTGTACACGCTTTTATCGCCTTTTAAATTTAAAATATTTAAAATATTTAAAATATTCTGAGAAAAAAGTTATGTGGATGATATACAATATCCACTATAGGTACTGAATATTTTAAAATAGACTCATAATTGCACCTCTTTCAAATTCTATGTATTATAAATTCAAGGAAAAAAATGAAGCAATTTAAATATATTACACTTTTAAATAACAAAACGTTTTACAAAACAAATTTCACAATTACCAATAACCTTGTGACAATTTATTGTTTTTATTCGCTTTTTGTTTTCAAACATAAACATAACTTAGCATTAAAAAAACTGAAAATGTATTAGAACTACTACATAATAAAGACTATTATATTAACGATTATACTTGAAAGCGGGATATAAATGGTATACCTTAATACATAAAAATTGTTATGAATGAAGTTGGTAAACTTTTAGTATTCTTTATTTATACAGATTGTTTCATAATTATTATGACAAAAGTTGTAGACTTGTAGAGGGTATCAAAATAAGCAAGTTTGCCTTATAAACCCCTATCCATTAGGGAGCAAAAAGTCCACCGGTCACAAAAGGTTCGTCTCGTTCATTGTCTCCTTGTTCGGTCGCCTGGATAAGTTAAAAAAAATAACTACTGTTTACTTTTTTGTGAACTTTGATTCGCCACACAGTGTCACGTAGTCACAGTAAACTGCGTGGACTAATCTCAGGGTTTTGTTATATGTGCAGTTATTTTTTTAAATTAGCCAGGCGAAAAAACAAGACAGTAAGCGAGACCAACCTTTTGCAACCGGTGGACTTTTTGCTCCTCTCAATTTTTAATTGCTGTAATGTCCTAACGGCAAATTTCCGGAAGGGGTATATAAGACAAACTTGTTTATTTTTATACCCTCTACAACCCTTATCAATTTTTTACTGTATATATTTTTGTGTCTTGCACTTTTACACAATAACAAACAGCAAACTTGCTTGCTACCGAAATTCAGAATATTTAAGAATATGCGCACCAGGAGGATTCGACACAAGAGTTGAAAACTAGTCCGACTCAATTTTTTTGTCAGAATCCTTTTAAAATATGCAAAATATTATATAAAATAAATACAGTTTGCAGATATATGATAAATAATAAGTTAAATGCGAAGAAGCCGCAGCAGCGAGTGAGTTGAAGAGGTAAGTCTTCAATATGAACATTTTCTTATTTGTTACTACGGAGTTAGTTACTACGAGAGGTAATTTTTGAAATTAGAACCATTTTGATAATCCGTCGTTGCAGCGCTGCGGTCGCCATGCTACGCATGCGCGTTGTGTACCTATATCTATTGGCAAGACTGAGACGCTCAGGGGGGTTTATAGCATATGCGCATTTTGTCAACAAGTTACTGCGCATCGAAAATGGCGTACGTTCGTTTTACAATAATACAATTATATTTAAAATATAAAGAAAACAGAATAATTACAACATATCTCAATAAAAATGTGTTAGTAACTTACCAAAAATAATAGTTTCAGATTTTTTTTATTTATCTATCGTAAAATTAAATAAATATGAATTTATTCAATTATTTGTACAATGTAAATCTGGCTTTGGATAACAAAACCCAAATCTCGTTAACGCTCGAGTCGACTCGACAACCGAAACCCGAATGATACAAAAGACAATATGGCTGTCGATGTAAACAATTCTAAGTGAGTTTTACTTTTATTTAATACAGTTTTAGGCGTAAATTTAGTAATAATTTACTGTAAGTAAACTTATTTTGATACTTTTGCATGTCTAAGTCCTATAAATGCATATATTTGATTGTAAATAGTAAATTGTTCTTGTCCATTTACACTTTATTGTCAACTGAAAAAAAGGATTATTATTCGTATTCGTAATTGTATTATCCCTAAATATTAAAATCCTTAACAAAGGTTTAATTCTAATATTCATTTTGATAATAATTATCCTAGATACGCGTGAGCATCATAAGTCTTACCTCTCCCCCCCCCCCCATCTAACTTGTTACTGGAGTCTTGTTAGGAAAATCGCCGAGACACGTCGATTTTTGATTTCTACAATGTACATTTTTGTATGAATAGTTTACCCTTAATTTCATCCCTTACTGGAGGGGAGCAACCCTTTCGAAAAATTTAAATGGCAAGGGGTGGTGAGTGATAGCTCATTTGAAAGGGGGTTTTATTCTCTATTCAACCGTGCAAAAAATTTTAAAATTTGCTTCATTACGTGTTGATTTATTAATGTTTAAAAATAAAACATCACAAATAGGAAAGCAACTAAACTAACAGGGACCTTATCTAATGGCAAAAAGTCTTACTTCACGTCTGAACCAAAACTGATATCATGCAGGGCCGAATTTTAATTCTAAGGATGAGTGCGCTACGTTAATTTCCGTTATTCTGAAACAATAATTAGTCGAGAATTAATGAAGCAAATTTCAAAATTTTTTTCTTGGTTGAATAGAGAATTAAACTCCCTTTCAAATGAGCTATCACTCACCACCCCATGCCATTTAAATTTTTCGAAAGGGTTGCTCCCCTCCAGTAAGGGATGAAATTAAGGGTAAACTATTCATACAAAAATGTACATTGCAGAAATCAAAAATCGACGTGTCTCAGCGATTTTCCTAACAAGACTC